GCGCAGGAAAATCAAAATCCACCGCGCAGTTAGGGTTGCGGCAAAACACCACCACATCTGTACATTTTTGCAAAAAAAACACTGGCGGGGGCAAGTTTAGGTTAAAGCCTAAAAGTTTGCCTACTATTATAATAGGATCTAGGCACAGGATGGGGGACGGATTCCAGGGGTTCTGTTTGACGGATTCCAGTCGTTCGCTGCTCGCTTAGGCGACGCGCTAAACGGAATAAGGAAGTTAGGGTTACGGAAAGCCAGCGATCCGTGGCCATATATCGGATAATATATAGAGGATTATAGCATACTAGCAGCGCGTTAGCTTTATTAGCTATGCTGCTACTACTATTAGACTTAATGTTGCTAAAGCACATTTAAAGCTCTCTAAATACCTAGTTAACCTCTTAGATAAACACTAGAAGGCTACTTAGCATGTTATTAAGTACTTTTATAGCACTAAAGACTATACGCTTTAGTACTTAAAAACTTTTACTTATTTATTCTAGAGACCTGTCTTTTACAGCGCATTAAATGCTGCCTATAGTAATAATAAAACTAGTTGCTGCAGCTCTAACAGCATGCTATTTACACTATTTAGCGCAGCTGTTAATTACAAGGCTTTCTTACAGCGCTTAGTTACTAAATTAATAACTAAAGTAAAGCTTTTAGCTCTCTCTTACGCTACTAGCTACTTAAAGTAGTAGAAGTAATTCTTTACTAATATAAACATTAACACTAAAAAAAAGCTTACTTTACTATGCAATAATTAATAAACTATATAAGCTATAGTAAAAGACTCTAAGCTTAATACTAAGCTTAAGCACATTAATATTTATAACTACTAGCTTTACTAAAAGGTACAGGAAAGAAGGATTTACATACGCTAGATCTCTACTGCAGACATGCTAGCTAATAGCCTTACTAAGTTTTTACTTTTATAAAAGCATTAAGCATTTATTAAATAACTAGGCCTTATCTGCTTAAGTAACGCCTTAAAGGCTTACTCTACTAATATTAGCTTTAAAGCCTAAGCCTACTAACTTCTTTTTCTGCTATTTTGCACTCTTAAGTGCACTACTGTACACCTGCAGTCTATTATTTCTTTTGTACAGCTGTACTTTAGTATTCACTTTGTTAAAGCTAGGGGGGTGTGTCGCACGTGTCTCACGCGATATCATACCCATGTACTGCACTATTCACTCATTAGGCATAGCTCCTATCTCGTACAGTATATAGTCAGCTCAGAGCTCTATCAAGCTCCTTAGACCTTACAATACACTCATTCCACCTTGTTTGGATCTCGCTCCCTTGTCGAGTCGTTTGCCATATGTCCCCTCCTCAGCTCATGCAAGAAGAAGCACATGCTGAATACGTGAACTGCACGAGCTGTCAGGAACCAAAGCCGGAGGATAGTAATAAAGATAACAGAAACAAGGGCCTCGCTAAATATCCGCAACTGATCATACTCCGCTCTGTTCTTTATTGTGTAACGGAACAATGCCAACTTTAGAGGGATTCACAGTCAACAGTGACGTGATTGACTAGTTTTATTCTTGATGTGGCAGTGGCCTAAATGTTTGCGGCAGTACCATGGCAACTTATTCTAAGAGACAGCCGAACTAGACTACTTTGATTTATGAGGGTCGTTTCGGATGATATTGGAATTGAATAGGCACAGTAACACCAGCCTTAGGGTCCAGCTGCACTAACCCCTCATCCTCTCCTAAACCACATCTCCATCGCTGAACCCGCCAAGTCTACCATCCGTGATATTGGGGTGCACTGTTGGCTCTCCGAGGTGAACTGGGAGGTCTTCATCAGTGATTCCCACCTCATCACTGGACACAATGACTTTAAGCCCAGCTATTTGATCCCTTGGCACCTCCAGTCCGCCCATCATCTTCACACGCCAATGCAAGTTCTTTACCAGGTAAGGCTCGACATCCGGCGCGCCTAAGCTAGGCAGACTTCCGTCAAGGACCTTGTCCATAAGAGTTTCAGTGAGTGTCACCGTGCCAGTGATTATAAGGCCCTCCTCCTGGTCCTGTCGACATTTGCCGCACTGTGTCTCTTCCCCTTGAGCGAGGACTGATACTGACCCGATTAGCGGTTCGGATGCAGACCATGTCGTGGGGTCAGTAGGTACGTCTCCTAAAAATACCATGATGGAAAAGGTCTGAGGGAGACAATGCTTTTCAACACGGATATTGACGGTCCAGTCGGTGTATTTGAGGTTGAATCCAAAGTCTTGAGCTAACAGGCTTATGAGCGTGGCCAGCAGTCATGATTTAATCGCTGAAGACTCACCCGGGGGAGCTTCTTCAAGCGAAGCTGCAGATACCTCTGCTATAAGTGGAGCCTGTGGTTCAGGCACTGTCAGAGATGCATCTTCATCTGCTACAAGTCCAGCCTGCTCAGCTGACGCTGGATTTTCGTTTATCTGAAGCCCGGTCTGCTCAGTTGACACTGGATCTGAAGTCTCAGCTGTGCGAGCCATCCTTGATTCGGGGGCGGCCATTGCGGACCTTGGAACCACACCCAGGGACCTAGCTTTCGCGATGATAGTCTGGTAAAGCCCGTTGAATTTTTCAGCGACGCTGTTACTGAAGGCAACATCGCTCGCAAAGTTCCATCGCTGTGTCTCAGGATATGCGTAGCCAAATGTAGTTGTCTCCTTAACGTCCTCCGATGTCCAATATTCGCTACTGCTCTTGCGGAAAGGCCATAGAGATGTCAGGCTGTTGACATTTGCATTTTCTGCGAGCATGAAGTTGGCAGATTTGACGCCGTTAGGCTGCTTTGTCTCGCTCAAATAACTGTTTGGATGCATTGCTTGCCATATGGCTAGAAGACGATCAATGTTCGCATGGTGCAGCCAGAAAATTGGGTCGAACGCTGCACCTGGAACCCTTCCCATGTTACCGCCGACCCTCGCGTGGACGAGGTTATGTGTTTGTTCAAGGCTGGGATAGCTTCTCGTTTTGGCGTCCCTTCTTACCCAGGCATCATTGGTAAACTCGTTGAAGTCTTTGAGTCCGGTCATCGCTTTCCACATGTCCGTTCGTGCACTGCTATCGATGGCGTTCCACAAGTTCTCGGAAGCAGATGGCGAGCGCGAAGTTCGGGCTTCAGGAGCGAACCAATCCTGAATGGTATCCGCATCATAGGGAAATGTGTAGTTGTACAAGGGATTGAGAGCCTGCTGCTTCTCATCCAGCAATAAAGACTTCACCATGTCGGAATCCTTGAGCAGGTCGGTGTTCTTCAGCGGAAGAGCCTTGGAGGCAATCCAGCTAGGTAAGAAGTCCTCAGGGCGTTTTGGTCTTTGGCTCAATGCGAAAGGGTCCCAATAAGGGAGGCGAAAGTCTTTCGCGGCTTTGATGTAGCGATCCTTGTACTTTGAGGGAAGACCGGAAGCGACATCTTGCACGTCATGGTACAATGCTTGCTCGAACAAGGCAAGAAACGGTCGATGCCATGTTGCAAACAGCGGCGAAGAGTGAGTACAGTAGCCACCACTGCCGGTTTCCTTGATTGGAGCTACGTCATCATAAGCTCTGTATGGCAGACCGTGGATGCCTAGCTTTCATCAGCGGCCAGGAATACCATCGGGATTCCCTCAGTGGTCTTACCTGCGATTTGGTAGTAAGAATCCCAAACTCCATTGTTATTTCTCTTAGGCCTCATGTATGCGCTTGATTCCTTCAACTTAGCAAGACCGAGAATGTAAAGGTCCCATTGCTCAGGATAATTGGCAATGAGCTCTTGCGCCGACCGCCTGATGGGCACAGCACCTTTTGTAGTTAGTGCTCTGCGGTCAAATATCTGGATTATATCTTTACCATTCGCAGTTGGTGTCGTCAATACTCCGGATGTGATCAACATATTTGTAAGGCGCCTCAGCTAACTCAAAGTGATGCAGCTAGTATATGTCTGAATAGCAGGGTCAAGTCGAGGCTGAAGCAAAGCCAAGAACTACGGAATATGTTTCGATCGGGGATTCTTGTATCTGAAACAGCGCATGGTTCCATCGGTTGTTTATATACACGAACATTCACATTGCTTTAAGCCTTCAAGTGTACCCGCCTGGGAATATGCGCATATGCCAATTGCACCCTGTTCGTGGCGATCTCTGATTCGGTTGCTGGCCTCAGCAACCTGGTCTAACGGACGAATAAAATCCAGGCCGCATCACGATACAGCAATAGGAGTCGTATGTGTGGGTGCGCTGGCTTGATAATTAGTGAATGTATTTTCCACAACTGTTCGATATGCCAGTTGCAAGTGTCTTCGCTTCCGCTGCTGTGCCTATCCATTGTCAAGGTAAGCAACGGGATGCAGAGCAAGCTTTAGATTGGCCGCATTGAATGCAGCATTCTGGAGCTGAAGGTGCGGAAGGCCCGGTTTGGGATCAGGAAATCTGCTTTTCTGTAGGAGCTATACTCAAAATGGCCACAGCTGAACTGCAACAACTTGCTTGTTCCTCTAAGGTGTTCCAGCCCAACCACGACTGCAAGGCGTGTCTCAGTCGAGTACATCGGACTGTTAGCTGGTGAAGGGAAAAAACTAATTGCTAATTTAAAAATTCTTTACCCTACACCTATATATCCTTAATTCTAGCCTTTAGCTACTTATAACTTTATAACTATTTTATACATATTTATACATGTTAATTTTATAATGCCTAGTAAGCGTGTTCTAAATAGTTACATTATACAAGTGCTTACTAGTATAGTAGCGACGTAGGAGGACGTCCTAAGATTAACCTTAACTTATAACGTACTTTATAGGCGAGTTGCTCACACACTTAAGTTGCTTACTTTTGCTAAGACTCTACTACACTACTCTTTTTACACTAATGTATTCCTAACAACACTACTTAAATATGTTAAAAGAATGTTAGATGTAGCTTACACTCTAAGCTTTTAAATAAAACATAATACTTTTTAACTAACACACTACAGCTATTTATAAAGTCTTTTAAAAGATAATAAGTAACTAACACACTAGACAACTTTTCTAAGCTAATTATATAGCTAACTTATAAAAGCTAGATAATAATAAAAAGTAGGTAATTATTTAGCACATACTTAAGCTAGATGCGCAAGGATTTCCCCCCTAGCTAGTAGCTATAGCTAATATAGCTAATTTTTTACGCGCTAAGCATAATATAGGCTATATTAGCATAAACTAGCTTAATATGTTTATTAAGCATTACCTAGAGCTTAAAGTAAAGTTTAAGTGTAAGTATAACTATAAAAAAGCTTTTTATAAAGATCTTATAGTAATTTAAAGCTAGTTTAACTTTATAGAGAATATTAAAGCTAAGTATAGCATCTAGAATAATAACATGTACAACTTTAATAAAATAGAGTTTATAATAGGCTAAATATCTACTAGAGTAGTTGTTACAGGTTTAGAGAGATAAAGACAGCTAAAAGCAGTCTAGCTAAGTAACTAAGAGTAGATAACAGCTATCTAGAGCATTAATACTAAAAAGTAGGCTATTCTGCTCTTTATTATTTTTTAAGGTAGCAACTACTTTTTAAACTAGTATAAAAAGGAAAATCTACTTTAAAATTAAGTTATAATAATCTTTAAGTGTAGCTAGACTACTAATTAGCTTAGTCTAGACTAGTTAAAGCACTTTAACGCGCATATAAAAAAGCGTACTGTTAGCAGCTACTATGTACTAGTTATTAATAGCTATAAAAGCTATAACTTACTTTATTTTTAGTAATACTATAAAAATAATAAGATTATTACTATTTATATACTTTTTTACTTATTGCACTTTTTATAGCTACTTAATGTAGGTTGTTTTGCTTCTTTAAAGAAAGTATATAAGCGCTAAGCTAAAAACCTTATGCATAACTAGATTACTTATATTATAAAGATAAAGTTTCTACTATGCTTTAAAGTAGCTTATAATGCTGTAATTACTTTTAGTAATATCTAAAAAGAGTTTTAAGGCGCTAGATTAGTTCTTTTTAACCTAAAACAAGTTATAATAAGCCTTAATGTAAAGTTGCGCACTCTATTACTACTACTACTTATATATAATAAGCCCTAGTAGTTATAAACCCTAAGTAATACTTTAAAACTTAGGTTATAATTAATGCTTATAAAAATAAAAATTTAGAAGCATATAAATAGTTTACTAACTTCTATAGTTAAGGCGTTTAAAAAGGTTTTAAAGGGGGTAGTAATAATTACGCATAAGCTAGTATTAGTGTAATAGGAAATTACTAAGCTTTAAGCAGCTAATAAGGCTACTACATAACATAAATTACATAAAAGAAAGTAGATTAAAGTAGAAAAAACTTTAATAATTTAAAAAAGCCTACGCTTAATAGCTCTAAAGAAGTTTAAGGCGCGTAGTAATAAAAAGAAGGTAAAGAAGTAGGTGTAAGCTAAAGTAGGTAAGCTATTCTAAAGGCGCTATAGACAGTGTAATTAGACTAGGCATAACGCGTAAATGTGTAAGTAAGAAGTAGAAGTAGTATCTAAATAATATTCTAGGCTGTACTGTACTATATAGTGCTAGAGCGGGTTGTTATAGGCTATAATAGAGTTTGTTAGGGTGGGGTCTTAGCAAAAGTGAGCGACTCGGGTGTGTGAGCAACTCGCCCATGAAGTACGTTACTAGCTCTATCTACTTAGGCTTTTCTATAAAGGTGTTATATATACACAGATAACTACTTACCTTTTATATAATTAAGCAGTAGTTTTAAATATAAAATATAAAGTAACATTTTCTACTAAAATTAAAAATAGAGTTAGAACTTAAACCTAAGTACTATTTTTTAAAGTTAGACTTAAAGATTTAAAAAAAGCTTCTAAATTAGAAAATATATACTTATATAACTTTAATTTAAGCGTAGTTGATAGTTAAAAGTGTAAAGTATTAAGTAAAGCTAGTAAGTAAAAACGCTTATGTTGCATATAATTATCTACCTATATATATCCTTCTACTGTGCAAGCTAGAAGGCTAACCTTTTAGCAACGCAACAGCTTATATAATAACTTATAAGTTAAAAGATAAAAAAAGTGTTATTAATAAGTATAAGTAAAAGTGTCTTTATATACACTTTTATTAATGTAGCTATATTATTATATAAGACTAGTTATTTTACATCTATTATGTAATAAACTGTAAGGTAGTAGAGCGCTGCAAGCGCAACCTACAGCAACACTATAGAGAGTATATTATTCCTAGTCTAAACTTTATCTAGTGTATTAATAGCTATAGTAAGCTAAAACCGTACAGTGTAAAGATCTATACAAGTATTAACGTGTACTTATAATACATTGTATAGATTTATGTTAGAATCTCTACTTATACTACTATTAACTGCCTTTACGAGTTTTTTTAGACACTTAAAAAATAAGTAGTAACTATATTTTATACAATTTAAGTAAAAGATAGAGATAGTTAAGCTAGTAAATACTTATTACTAGCTTTAAAAGTTTATAAAGCTTAAGCTTCTATATAATTAATGCTACTTTTATTACATAAGTATAGTAAATTAGTAAATTAACGCTTAGTAGTAGTAATGTTTAAAAACTCTTTTTTATTAGTACGTTAGTATTTTATAAATTAGTTATTACTTTATTTTACTTTAAGTAGGATTGCTTTTACTACTTTTAGACTTAAGGTTTTTTTTTAAAAAATAGCTTAGTTTTACAGTCTACAGTTGGACCGCTGTAACTCTACCTAAAGTACTCTAAAGTTTTAACAAATTAGTATAGAAACTATTTACAGTCTAGCAACCAATTAGCTTGGAAGCTGCGGACTAATTCAGTGCACCAACACTAACAGACAAGTGCGTCATCTAGTAGGCAGCAAAGCCAAGACCTTGCAAAGCTTAGCTAAACCTTTTAGATACTTCTGTAAGGTAGCAACACAGGTTGCAAGGTAGCAGAAGAAGTTGCTAGGTTTTAAGACAGACTGCAAGGAAAGAACATACTAGAAATGTATATAGTTATTCTAAACCCACTCTCTTTTAGAAAGCATGTTTAATGTTTAGTTTATTCTTTATAATAGACTAAGACAGTATTTAGCTTTTTAAAGAGCTGCAATACTGTTTATATATTTAGCCCTATATATACCTCCCTTCCTAGTCTACTAAACTATTTAACTAAACGCACTTATACTGTTGTACTAGAGCAAACCACAATCTGGCCACCCTACCCCTACTACCGTACCTGAGTGGACGAAGGACTGTACATCCGGCTGTCACTCCCCTTCTTTCCGCAAATCAAAAAGGCCTGTGTGCTTCTAAGAAGCAAGGATTATAACACTTAGCTAATTAGCTTACTATTTATGCTATATATATTCTTATACTTTATAAAAACCTATATAACTATAAAACATGCATTTAATAAAAAAGTAAAAAAACGATTTAAATAGTATAGCTAAAAAGCTTTACGTACTTAAGTACTGTTTTAAAGCTTATGTCTAGAACTAGACTCTTTTATTTAATGCTAATTAGCTTTATATAATTAAAGAAAAAGGTAATAGTTAGAATATAAATATCTACCTCTTATAAAATATAATTTAGTAGTGTAATAAAGTACTAGATTTACTTAGATTTAATAGCATAGCTATAGCTTACTTAAACTTTTAAAATGATATAATACTATATCTAAATGTTTATCTTTAACTTTAAGTAAAAGTATAAGACTATATCTAGAATAGTTTTTAGCCTATACTATTTCTACTGAATCTACTTATTAGAGTGTAAAATTAGAAAGTAAAGTTTTGTATAATATACTTAATATTAAAGTATCTAATTTAACTAAGGTAATTAAGACATAGTTTAAAATGTTAATCTTAAAACTAACTTTAGTAAAAACATACTTATTAATTTTAATTTAGCCTA